CATTCCCCCACTAAAAGGCAAACCCTCCGAGGTCACAGATGATGGTTTAGGAATTTGTGTGTGTGTGTGGGGGGGGGGGGTCCTCATACACTAGAGAGAGCAGAACTGGGTTTCGCAATACAGGCTGTACAGATGTGTATTGAAATTAAATACTGCGAAAGTTGTCAGAATCAAAATGGAGTCATTTGCGTCAACTTGCGTTAAGCCCTGACTAAACAGATCTGGAGGAGAACATAAAAGGCGGAGTATGCCTGATAGAAGAACTGTCAAAAAGCCTACTTCTGCGAGGACAAGAAGCCACCTGTCCAACCGATAATAGTAATGCTAAGAGTGACACAGATAATGAGAATGGCATCAGTTCACCCTTGTAACAGATCCTAGACAATGTCCCAAAACAACCAATAAATTCACACACACACAAGCACCACATTTTTGGTTTTTGTCTTGAAAAGTCACCTGAGCATTATAAAACCTTGGAACACATATTCAAAGCTATTTGGATCTGTCTTGTAGGTTGTAACTCTATTTTTTTTAAAAAACACACACACACACACACACACAGAGGTACCCTCCACAGGGCTCAGTCACACCACGGTCCCTTTCCTTCAGTCTTCCAGCCCATCAGGATCCTGGGCACACACTTGGCATGTTTTCAGACCCCTAGGTTGGGGGCTCAAACCATGGTCTATACATGGCTCCCAGCTCTGACATCTGCTATGCTACCACCTGTGTCAGACAGCCTGGGCCACAGGTTGTAACCCTCATAAACCCAGATAAACTCTCTCATTTCTCTAAGATTTATACTCTGTTCTTTAAGGGTCAAAAATATATACATAAGTTGTCCCAGGCACTGGACTAGGCACTTTGCAACATGTTAACTCATTTTGTTTTCATCCTATACCATTGCTGCCTCCTCTCAGCCTATTTTTTTTTTTTTTTTGAGAGAGAGGTTTTTGCTATAGGGCGCGAGCACTCGCCAGACAGACAGAGACAGACTGAGACAGAAAGTGAGAAATCACCCCCCAGGGGGGATGGCCATGCCACAATCCCTTCTCCTCCATTCTCCTCTTGGAATCTTGGGCACGCACACACACGCACCCAGCGTGAGTTTAAGCCACTGAGTCTGCAGTCGACTACGTGGGAGTCCAGTGACATAGCCCACTATGCTAACTGCTGGTCCCCTCTCAGCCTAATTTTAACAAAATTCCTCTGAGAGGAAAGAATGTGGCTGTCCCACGTCGTTCGTTATAACGAGATTTGGCACCTGGTACAGACACAGCTCGGGGTGCCAAGTAAAGGAATGAACACCATCAGTTGGGGTCAATGGCAACGAATTCCTGGCAGGTAGGATTGAGTGGACATAGCTCAGGCTCCCGGCAGAGAGAATGGAACAGACAAGCCCTGAGCATAGGGGGAGCAGCCATGTGTGAGTGGGGACAAGGAGTGGGTTTGCAGGAGAGGAACCATGTAGGAGTGATGAAGAATGAAGTTGTGGACATGATGAGTACATCCACGATCCCACGCCCTCAAAATTAAAGTCAGACTTTAATTTTTTATTATATAGCTTATAAAAATTGCAACCATGAGGGAAAGGACAGGCCACAGAAATTTATCCTTGGCTCCTGTCGGACAGTTGAGCCCCAAACCATGGTCTTAAAATCTGTTTGCTATTGAACAAGCGTCGGAAGACTTAAAGTCTCTGCCGCATCCAGGGGACTCTTGGCTCTCGGGCTCAGCTGCCAAGTGGGAAGGTTGGGAACATTCTCCAGCAGCCTGCTCTGGTACACTCTGTCCCTGCCCAAATCTACTGCAGTAATTAGCTTTGCTCATTAGTTTCAAGTAAATCATCTTGTTGCAGCTGGGATCCTTTATCAGAACAGTGAATGTTAGAGTTTGCTGAAGCAAAATTATTTTTCCCTCGGAATTCCCTGGAACACAAAGTCACAACCCAGAGATCTGAATGAGGCAAGGACACTTCAAAAAATGCCTAAAAATGCCAGAAACAGCTCTGCCTAAACAGAGGGGAGAGTTGGGTATTTAGAAACAGATCCAAAACAATGAAAGTTCTTTGGGATCGATATTGGTCTTTCCTTCAGCTTAGTTTCCTGGCTCAGATGATCTGAATGCTCAAAGCAGCTGGTAAGTGCAGATACTGAGGTCATCTCTGCCCAGAGGAGTGTCCAGAGGGAGACGGACAAGACACCTGATAATAAACATGCTTACAGAAGTCACGCACTAAGGAAACACTGCAGTAGCAGAACGCACAGAACGCCCCAGTCCAACCTGGGTCCTCAGGAAGACTTCCTGGCGATGTGACTTAGGCTCTTATTGAGAAAGTGAGGAGCATCACCCAGAAGCACCTCTGCAGGAAGGCTAGCCATGAGGCAGCACAGGATTGATGTCAAGGCTTTAAAAACGATTGGCACGATGCACCTCATCTTTTTGTCCTTTGGTATTGCACTGTTATGCCCATTTTAAACACAGAGAAAGTGAGAAAGGAGACTTCAGCTCTGCCCCTGGATGATCTGTGGGGTTGGGACTGGGAACAGTAGGGGCACAGTGAGGCAGGACCCCTGCCAACTTCTGCCGTGCAGAGGCAGGACTACAGCCAAGCAATGACAACCTCCAGGAAATAGATTCTCATGTCGTTTGGGGCAGAAGGGGCTTATTTAATGGACATTGCCTTATTGGCACCCCAGTCCTGATCTGCACACTTAGTGGTCTGTGACATCCCCAAATGGACAAGAATGCCTTTGAACAGCCTGTCTGGACTACAGTGCCCCTAGTCCTGGGGTGAGCTGAATGGAGATGAGGCTGTCACCATGTGTTCACTGGACTAATTCGTGTCTCTTGTACTTCGGTGAGTAGCTCCTGCAGTCAGGGCACTGCTTCACAGCACTGAGCTTTTTCTCTTTACTTGTGATAGTGAACAGGAGAGAAATGGGCACCCTCCGGTCTGTTCACACTGTGATCTTCTCCCCCAGGGCTCCAGCACATCGCATCTTGGGCACTCGCGCAGGTGCAAGGCACCACTTGAGAAACCGCTATCAGGACTGGCCCCACAGTGTAGCAGTTAAAGCTCTGAGCAAGGGGAGCCGGATCCCACATGGCCCATAGTGGTTTAGGCCCTGGCCCCAGAGGATTGAGAAATATGCCAGGTGGTTGTATGTCCAGAATCCTGATGGGATGGAGAAATGAAAGAAAAAGGACTGCAGAGTGACCATATCCCACTAGGGGTCGGGGGTCGGGGGACTTCCTCTTTTCTGTCTGATAGATGCACGTGCCCTCTGGAAAAAAAAGAAAGGAAGGGAGGGAGGGAGAGAGGGAGGAGGGGAAACAGAAATCAATCACTGCCCTAGCCAGAGATAGTAGAGGAAGAGTCAGAGAAAAGCTGCCCCTTGCTCAAATTGGCATTTTCCATCCACAATTGAGATCACAGTCCTTGAACTACACTCACAGCCGTGGGGTGGCTCAGCACTTGAAATGCGTGTTCCTATCTATGACCTCCCTAGGGCAGGGCAATCCAGGATTTTTATCCCCATTTTACTGAGAAAGAAAGAATATACTTGTACAAGACTGCTCAGCTAGAAGGGGAAGAAACCAGGGCTTTCCCCTGGGTCTCCGGATAACAAAGTTCTTGTCATTAAATCAGACACTTTGATCACATGAAGAGAAAACTGCACACTCTTTACCTGGGAAACCTAGAGGCTATGACACTAGAACACCTGGTCCCCACGAAGGCCCTGATCTATCCACCTATGAAGAGGATCTGGTAATTGTTTCATCACACTCAAGTTCTTCTATTGTCTGAACTAGGGCCACTCGGTCAGCTGGCCAAGACTGAGCAGAGGGAAAGCTCTGAGACTTGCAGGCCTTCTAGGAGGAGGGAGGCAGCCCAGCACGATTCATTCTCAATGGAAAGTGACATGGATTCCTCCTGCTAGTCTGCTGTGGCTCCCATTCTCCTGAACTTGTTGTCTCTGGGCTTTCTTCACATGGTTTATGTGATCCACCTCTCTGTTTTCCAGTGTCTACAAGATTTACCTATCCACGGATCAAATAACCTCTTCCCCCCATGTGGGGTTAGACTCCAAAGAACAATCTCATCCTGAAGGGATAATAGCTTAAGATGAGGTATTTCTCAGGGATGTTTGTATTTTTTTAAGAAGGTCATTAACCTTCAGACATAATAATGGCCTGACTTGCGGTGCTATGACAAGCAGGAGAGAAGTCTTCCACAGCAAGGGGTTCTATGACCACCCTGTCATGGGAAATTTCCTTTCTCTTTCTGCCCAATGTGATCGATTCTAGGTCACCCCTTTTCCTCTGAAATCAAAATCTCCTCATCCAGCTGCTGGGAAGAGAGAACAAACTGATTATTATTCAATACAAAGCAGACCATTTATTTCAGCAGGTTCAGAGCCATTATCTCCCCAGGACACAAGCTACAGTGTGTGCTGGCTTTATCTACCCACACTTCCTTTTGTCCTCAAATCCTTAAAGAGGACATTGTTCCTTTTGCTGGACTAAGACAAAAGGGACCTGGAGAAAGAAATGAGTGGCAGTAATGACCTACTAACGCTTCTCTTGCCTTCCTTTGCTGCCTGAGCTCCTCAAAGGAATTAGGATTTCCTGTGACTTCTAGAGAAGTCCAGGCAGATGAGAAAAAACCTGAGAAAAGAAGACTTGGACAGCCATCTTCCCTTTGAAAAGGGGCCAGCACCCTGTCCTTGACTTCACTACCACCCCCAAGGATGCCGGTTTCATTTGTTGCTGAGAGTCTCAAAAACGAATTGTCCAGTCTATATACCCAGTGTGTTTTTCAAGTCACCAAGACCGGGACTCGAACCACACAGTTGGCTTTGTGGGATTCTAGCTGCCTTAATCACTGGGTAGCCTCAGGTTGGTACATTTTAAAGCAACATTAACCCAATACCACTCAATCTTTTCTCTTTTTTTTTGTAAAGTCATTCATTCATTTCTTCCATGAGTAAGGAAGACAGAGACAGAGGCAGAGACATGGCACCCCCACCGGATCCCCATGCTGCAATCCATCCCTAGACTCACACGTACTTGGCAGGGATATTCTGGATAAAAACCTAGAACCTTCGCACATGGATCATCCCAGAGTATCCTGTTACTGCCATGCCACCGGCCAGCCCACGTTCTTCCAACGTAAGTATCGTCCTCGCTCGCTATAAGGTCTCTGTTCTTTCTGTCCTTATTGATCGTTTAACTGGGCTCTCTGACCACTCATGTTCAGATCAATTTGCCCATTGGAATTAATTGCCCAATAAAGTTCATCAAAGTTCAGTCCATCTTTTTATGTTTTTAGTTATTTCTGTAAGATTCATTGAACCAATAGCTTGTACTTCTTCTCACACTAAGTCTCCTCATTCTTACTCTGCCCAAAGTAAATGCACCCTTTCAAGATTCACTGGAACTTGTATTTTGAAACCTAGCCTAGAAGGTCTCTGAAGGGACCCTTCTTGTTTTGTTTTGCTTTAAACAAAAGAGGAGTCTGCCCGCTGGAGCATTTTATCATTTGGAAAACAGACACAGAATTGTTTAGTGACTTCCCTGAAGACAGCATTGGTAACAATTTCTGGGATTAAGAAAAACAATAAGATGGAGTTTGTGGTAGAGTTGTTTCCTTTTATATTTTACTTGTGACTTTTCCCAATGCCAAAATTTTATGACCCTATAAAAAACACTCTCCCGGGGCTCTTGTGGCTGCTAATGGCTGTATTTGGGGGCTTTTCTTCTTCTAACTATGAGATTCTCAAGGCTTAACATTCCAGACTGTTGGCTGTATCCCCAGTGAGAAAAACTTCTTCCGTGTAATATCTGTTTCTATTGTTTTATAAGAATGGAAAGAAGCCACATAATTAAGCCTTAAGCATGAGGGAAGGAGCTAAAGAAGATGCCTTCTGTGGGACCATGACAGTAGATGACAAAGCAGATGAAAGAGAGAAGGTCAAGAGAAGGTCGTGCGGGTCATTCTCCAGCCTGTCCTGCAGGTGATGTCACACTGATGTTTAATGTAATACCAGATAACCAGCAAATGAATGTTTACATTCCAGGGTTTCCCAGTGGGCTTGTTCACTTGTTCATTCATTCAATGCTTTTTATTGCATCTTTCATATGCCAGGACTGTGCAAGACACAGAAGACAAAGATTAATAAGACCCCATCTGTGCCCTCAAAGAACTCCAGACCAATGCATGAGACACAGCTACGAATCAGTGCATCACGGTGCATCTTTAAGTGTTCAACTGAAAAAACGAACTGGCTAGTTATCCCAACCAGTGCCAATTCTTGCCCCACTCTCCCCCACCTCCCAGGGGACGTTTGGCAATATCTGGAGACATTTTTGATCCTCACAACTGAGGTGTCAGTTGTCGACACTCAAGTGTCGATAGTGTAGAAATGGAGACTCCTAGTCCTCGTGGGACAAAGTATGATACAGTCAGTTCTACCTCGGTGGCTGGGAAAGCTGGGTTTATGCAATCCCTTCGGTTCTTTTTCAGATTTTGTCTTTGATTAGCTTTTGTCCCTGAGCAAGTTACTTCAGCTCTCTGGGCTTAAGTCTCCTCATCCATAAAATATAGCTGGAGTCTCCAATCTTTAAATTCATTCTGTTCTAACAATGTATGGTTTTATTGGGTCAATATTTGTGCTTCCCTTAAACCCTGATCCTGACAGAAGAAAGGCTTGGCCAAAGATTGTATACTCTGCTCTGGGTCAAGGAGATAAACCAGTTTCCCGTGTTGATCCAGAGTCTAAATCAGGCAGGCAAATGTGACCTCTGCCCAAGGACTCCAAGCTAGTATTAAGACACTTCTTTCTTTGGAGTCTAAGTTTTCCCATCAGCAAACAAAAGCCATTTAACTGGTCTGCCTTCCTGTGTCAGGAGAAAAGCTTGAGTAAATGAAGATGGAAAATTACCCCGATGCTGTTTCTGTGACTAGGTCCAAACCACCAATGCCACTTTCCTCCCTTTTGGGGGCCTGCAGCAGTGACAGGGTAGGAGAGACACAGCTCAGGACCAGCCCTGGGGTGTAAGATGGTAGCATGGGCTGGGGAAAGGTAGTCTCTTTGTATGCCTGGGAAACCACCTCAAAGACAACCTTTATCACTTGTCTCCTAGAGAAGTTAGACTTGGATCCTTAACCACACACTTCAAACTTGGGGTCTGGGTGCAATTCAGGTCATCAGATTTTCCCTTTCGCCAACACAAAGAGCCTGTCAAGGCCAAGCTCCTGGAGGCTGGGAGCTAATACCAAAGCTAAGGGAACCAAAGCTTCTCTCTGAAGGAAAAGAGACACTCTTGCCTGGGCCCGAACACAAGGCCTTTTCAATGCTCTGTGGTGCTGACTGCAACAGGAAAGGCAGGAAGAGAGAGACAGGGCAGGGCCAGCATTGGCAGCTGCACTGACGGCAGCATTTCCAGCCTTACCACCCTGGCAGGACAGCATCAAGGTTTGCAAGCAGAGGCTCCTCATGTCTTCCCCATGGCTGGACCCGTGTCATCCGAGGCAGCAGATTCTACATGCAAGATGCAAATGAGCCCTCCACCCCTTATGTTTAATGAAAGAAAACCCAGAATTTAGAGCTATTAACTAACATGCCCAAATTAACTGAACTGCTAGACAAGGGGAACTTTACCAGTGTTACTATCAAATTTGCTTCATTGAGCTTATCAACAATAAATATTTCCAAGTTAGCCACATTTTCCCCATTCTGTATACTTCCACTGTTTGGGGCTTTGTTTTGTTTTATTTGAAGGACTGGTTGATATAATTTATAATCAGTAGAATAAGCAAGTCTTTTTTTTAAGGTTCCCATCACGGGACACATGCACTCACCAGAGAGAGACAGTGAGAAGGAAAGTGAGAAATAACACCCCAGAGGGGTGGCCACACCATAATCCCCTCTCCTCCATTCTCCTCCTGGGATCTTGGGTGAAATGTGGAAATCTTAAGTGTAAAGTTCAATGGCTTTTTTAGGTATATACCCATGTAACAGGCACCCAAATCAAAGTATGAAACATTTCCATCATTCCAGAAAGTTTTCTCAAACCTTGTTTTAATCAGTAGCCACTTGAATAATCACTTTTTATTTCTATTGCCATATATTAGTTTTGCCTATTTTTCTGTTTTATATCAACAACCTTATATTCTTTTGTCCAATACAATGTATTTTGGGTTAATCCACATTATATCAATAATTTGTTCCTTTTTATGGCTGCGTAGTATTCCATTGTATGAACATGCCACATTTCATTTAACCATTCACAATATTGTATTGATGATATTTGGGTTGTTTTGAGTTATTATGTTCATTGATTCTAAAACTGCGGATTAAATGGTGATCATTTTTTGCTGTTGGTATTTAATCTCAAAATATATGCCTATTTTCATTTCCCTTCAGACAACCTCTCTTGAAAGTCATCCTCCAGAGCTCCCAGAAAGTGAGATAGAAAGAAGCATTAGAGGGCCAGCCCTATGCAGTGGGTAAGCCCTGTGCGCTAGGAGCCAGATTCCACATGGTCAACTGTGGTTTGGGCCTTGCTCTGGCAGCTTGAGGGACACACTAGGCTTATGTGACTAAAACCCATTGAGGAATACTTTCGAGGGAGAGTGAGCAAGACACCTACCCTCTGGCAATAAAAAATAAGTATGAAATGACTTTGAAGGTCTTTTCAACCATGAAATCCTCTAATGCAACATCTTCTCTAAGAGCTCTGTTAAGTATTTGCTTACACGCATTAGAACCACGTGTTCCCTGAACGGTCCTCTCCACAGAGATGGATGCCTTTACCAGTGAATTTCCCAACAAAGACTAGACATACTGTTCAACCACAAGAAATACACCCTCTTCACCAGATGACATCTATGTCCAGTGAAAGATGCTGTCCTGATCCATCCCCTGCAAGACACCTGGTAGAGGCCAACAAAAATAGTGGAAAGTAAATGAGCTTCAGTCAGCTCTTCTGCCCTCCACTGAAAACAACAGTAGTTTCTCCCTTGAGATATGTGGAAAAGAAGGCCCACAGGAAGACTATTAACCAGGCCTCCAAAGCATTTCTAACAGGGTTTACAAGTCCTTTGGTGAATTCCTCACTCATTCTTTTTCTGATTTTTATTTTGTCTAAATCTAACTCTGGTGGAGCCACACATCAGGTGGGCCTAATGTGCACTTCACTCCTTCACAAAGTCAGGCAGCTATTTAAAGGCTTTTATACGTTTTCTGAACATGCCAAGAAAGACTGGGAACAACTATTTGAATGATACACATTAAAGAAAAAGAAAAATTTATTCAGCAGATAATTCATCCAGCCACAAGGACTGAACCCCCATGGTTGGAATGACTACTACTGTGGTACCTAATGTCTTGCATGGGGGCCAACTAAACACCCAGTGAAGGCCTTCTCTCCTCTCATTTAAGACCACACCCTAAAATACACCAGCTCCATTCTGTTCTGTCTTCTCACCCCTCTTGGCTCAGTCTTTGATTTCTCTCCTCCACACTGCTCTGCTTTGCTCCTTTAATTTTTAGAACTATTTATTTAATTTTATTCATCATTATTATCCTTCAATTTGACCAGAGAGAGAAACCGAGCGAGAGAGAGAGAAAAAGGAAAAGTGAGAAAGCAAGCCGCCAGGCCTGAAATTCAAACCACGGTTGGCCATGTGGGAGTCTAGTGCCCTAACCACCACACCACCTGCCAGCCCCCCACTCCCTTTTCTTAATTAGCCCTGTTTTTCTACTGATCTCCACTTCTTTTTTTAAAAAAAGTATTACTTTATTTATTTTAATTTGACCAGAGAGGGACAGAGTCAGAGAGACAGAGAAAAATGAGAAAGTAAGTCTCATGTCCGGGACTCAATCCGTGGTCGGCCATGTGGGAGTCTAGCACCCTTCACCACGCCACCTGCCTGCCCCTCATCTCCACTTCTTTAGGTTCACAAAGAGAAGAGGATGACCAGATGTAGATGTTGCAACCAAACAACCTTTACTCAAGCTTCTGGGTTCCTATATTCCCCTTCAGGCACTGTTGATCTCTCAAATTACCTCTCGCAGGGACCAGCAGGTGGCGTGGTGGTGAAGGGGCTGGATACTCCCACATGGCCAACCATGGTTTGAGTTCTGGACCTGGTGGCTTTCTTTCTCTCTCTTTCTCTCTCTCTTTCTCTCTCTCTCCCTCATTGCTGACCCCAATTAAAATGAATGAATGTATAAAATTAATGCTTTTCTCAAATGACCTCTCACATACCTCAGGGAGATCTCACCCCAGATGACTTTTATTCCCCAGCTTCTTCAAGCCAAGGCCCATACCTTCCACCTCCCACCCACTAGGCTGCACCAAGAAGGAATGAAACTGTCCCCTGGGGCCCTAATGAGTGGATGGAGATTCCTGAGCTCACATCTCTCTCATTCTCACCGTAGGTAGGGCTGGTGCTTGTCTGTCATTTGACTCCTCGTTCCTTTCCTGAAGCCAGTCTCGCCCTTTTCTTAAAATGACAACACTGTATAATCAGCTCCTGCCAGCCGCATACACCCAATCAGCCCCACCCTAGCCAAGGCTCTGAAGATGCCATTGAAAACCAATGTATTTTTCTAACCCCTCCCCACCCTCCACCCACCTCTTATTCTTTTGAAAACAAATTCTTTTTCCAGTGTTTCTAAATTAAGCGGAAAAGTGAGAAAAAAGAGTTTCTTCCATTTTTTGATTGTGGATGAAAATAAACCAGCGGTCAGTTATTTACCCAAAATCCGATTCAGAAATGAACCAGTCCTGGACTAGATTTGAATTTTAAGAACAAATCTAAAAGAGCTTCTGAGGAATTTTTGAAAATTCACCGAAAGTGGCCAGGAGGTAAATTTGCAAAGCTGTGGTTATTGGCATTAAAGATTGTAGAGGCAGGAAATTCCCTGCATAACTAGCCTGTCTTCCCAAAGCCTGCTGGGAGCAGAAGTCTAGAATTCCTCCCTATTTTTCCTGCATCCGCAGCCCAGCCGCCCTCTGGCTCCAAGCAGAGCCCATTAGCCACATACTGTAAGTTACAGCATATGTTCATACCTATTCATCAGATCCCTTTTCATTCGGGAGACGGTGGGATTTCACTTGCAGAGACACCAACCACTTCCTCATTAAAGGCTCCACAATGTCTTCTCCTTCCACGCCATCTAGCCAGGGTAGCCAAGATGCCCACCCTAGGGAACTTTCCATTTGAGGAGATTCCTTTTGGAAACAACTCACACACACACCAACTCCACCTCTTTCTCTAGCACCTACTCCCACTACACACATCCATGCACTATTACTCAGAATAAGCTAATTGTGATAACCTTCCAAACATGTCAGTAAATTAACCCACCAAAGGGTCATTGGTTTCTCACATTTAACATCTGCTACTCTTACCAAACATTAACATGATTGCAA